AACAGACAACCTACTTAATACAGTGGTTGTGTTCATTGTTAGAAACAGATAACCTACTCATCTATAAATCATTGAAACAAGACCTGCATGGAACTTGTCATTAAATCTTACAGTTTTAATTGTTTTCAAACTGTTGATTTTTTTTGTCCAAATTTAGTTTAACTACTACAAACTTTTCTTTAAATAGTTCAACAAGCTACAAAAACAAATACCTTGATTAGCTGAAGTGGTAAGAAAAGATAAAAGTCTAAACTCATCAGACAATGTTTTAAAGTAGTTGTGATTTCAGTGTTTAGAAATACACATGATCAAAAACAATTATTTAAATTAATATTCCAAGGTGTTTCTCATTTTAAACCTCAGGCAGGTCGCAGCACTGCCTATATAGGGATTGTTCATCTAAATTCTATTTTAAATAGCTCCTCAATAGTTAATCAGAACTTTACAATACTATACAGTGTTTCTTTTTATAACAATATATATGTAATGACTGAGTTACAAGTTATGACAATGTCTGTAAATATCATAGCAAAAAGTTTGAATTTCTTGTTCTTTCTTCAAAACCAAAACAATGGTGTCAACCAATTTCACTGAGGTAAATTGTTACAAACGGAGTATCCGCTTTTATAAGTATTATTAATAACTAGTAGTCATTTAAAAAAATCATATTTCTGGTGTAAACGATGTTATCATTACCCCTTGAAGTTAGCTTTCTTACCAAAATTTGGTATTGTATTTAAAAAACTTAAGTACAGGGTGAAACAGGAATTACCAGCCAATATATAGATAAACAATAAATATTACAGACGAAACCTCATTGTATTTAGAACATTGTTATAAATATAACCTTCCTGTCTGTTAAAACACTGCAAAAAAAAAAAAACAAGTAAAGAAAACATTTCAAAAAATGAAGTAAATGTAGGGATGGCTAATATCCATCCTTCAAGAACAATGGAAACAAAATAGTAGGGATGGCATTTACATCATCCATACATAATATCACAGACAAGAATTAACATATAGCAAATATATAACTATTCAATCACAATTGAGTTTAATTTATCCTATTTTCCTCTGTTAACATTCTACTACACTGTGTACCTGTGCTATTATGTACGGATGACACAAATACCATCCCTACTATTTTTTTTTACATTGTTTTTGAATGACTGATATTAGCTGTCGCTACATTTTCTTCCTTTTATGAAACGTTTTTCTTTACTTGTATAAATATAATCTTGTACTGGTATTTTTGTTTGAGTGACAAAAACAAACATTTAACACTTTAACTTACAAACACCCAGTTAAAAAGATTCCTACCTACCCCAGTTATTTATGTGTTGGAGGGGGGTCGGTCATCTATTATTGGCCGGTAATTCCCGATTCACCCCGTACTTTTTAAAAGAAACACCAAATTTCTGTAAGAAAGCTAACTTTGTGGGGTAATAACATCATTTACACTAGAATTATGATTTTTTATTTTTCCATAAAATAATAATAACAATAGGTAGTCAGAGATTGTGAAGAGTGTTTCGCTCTATCAAATGATGATAAACTTATAGTTACTGCTAGAAGTAGGTAGGCATTAGGCCTGTTGAAGAAAGATGATGATTTTGGACACACTGGGTAGCTGAAAGATAAGAGCAACTGTGCCAGGTGGATCTTCATATCTAGCTTCCGACTTTTGTACTGCTTTGATACGGCCATCACAAGCACATTCTCCACAGTAAATTTACTGCAGCTACTTTATACTAGACTTAGTAATGAACTAGAGTTATTTGAGCTAGGCTTATTAGATGACTCTGGGAAGGGAAGGGGTTAAGTTACAGGGATAGGTTAACATCTTTTAACTTATTTTCTCTCGAGAAAAGGAAGGCAAGAGGTGATCTTATTAAAGTTTACAAGATTTTCTTGGTGACTGATTGGATAAAGGCCTCCAATTTCTTTGTGATAGTATTACAGTTTGGAACTTACTAATTTTAGATAATATGTGAATATTAAAAGAACATTTAACTCGAGTTTAAAATTATCCCTTTATACCAAAAAACCCTTTGGAAAGACTAAAACTTAAACTACCCCTAATTTTCAGGAAATGATTTTTAACTATTGTAAAGTGCCAGCCTCCACTACTGCCAATGGCAATTCATAATTCAAACCCCACCTCCTCCCCGTTAGAAAAATAAAACTGTCTTTTCTAGATCTTAAAGTTGTATTCTCTCATTGTATTGTCTTCAAAATATAATACAAGGAAATTCTATTGTTCTACCAGAAATTATTGCAACTTGAGTAACTGAATAAGACCACCTTTTACGCTTCTTTTCTGAAGAGAAAATAAGTTAAACTATCTTAAACTATACCTATAAAACAACCCTCTATCTCTAGAATCATTCGTTATTGTTCTAACCAAAATATCAGGTTTTATACTCTCTTTTTTTATACCTATAAAACAACCCTCTAATCTCTAGAATCATTCGTTATTGTTCTAACCAAAATATCAGGTTTTATACTATCTTTTTTTTATAATATGGCATTTAATGACTTACCATTATAGTAGAGTATCCCTACTCTGAATCTTTACCATGTCAATACTGTTTCCGTTTCATTTCACAGAGCTTCACTCTTACACTGATCGGAAGTTCTATTTTTACTAGTACTATGACCTTAATTATAGAAACCAAAACTGTACACTATATTCCAAGTTAGGCCTAACTATAAATGTGGGTAAAGAAATAATTTCTGCTCGTGGTTTCCAATCGGTATGTTTATAATATAGATACACCTTCAACATTAGCCTTACTATTACTATCAGTTGTACTGCTACTAAACACTTCGTCAAAGGCTTAACTTGAATGCTTTTTCCACCAAGATAAATATTTGTCCAACAGCTATCCAATTGATTCAAGTAATTCGATAGTACCCAGGGCTGAAAGAGAGGGGGTAGGGTCAGATGCCCCGGCAGTGGGATATTCTAAATCTCACCACAGTAGAAATGCATACTCTCGACGCCCCTAATACTATCTCAGCACTAGAAATACCCAAGAGTGTAGTGCCACCTACTAACGTCACGATGTACTACTTTAAGTACGAAAAATTGAAAAACTCTCAAAGCCCGAACGACATAGATCATTCACAGTTACTTGAATATATCACTCTCACTATACCGCCACCTTCTTTTAGTATATGAATATCGAAACTATTATAATTTTAATTCGATACTAAAAATAAAAACTTACGATTAATATATAAATCAAACTTACGGATAGGAAATATTCCAGTTGAGAAACTCAAAAACAAAGTTTATTTGTTGAATTCCACACAAAGCTACTCGAAGGTTACCAACACTAACCCTTTTCTAATTGTGAATTGATAAATTAGAGGGAAAACAGTTAGTCAACATCACCCATCGCTAACCCTATAACAACGAAAATTAAAATTGACTGTTATATTATAACGCCACGACAGTTGAAAGGGCATGTTTGAGGACGGGTTTCGATTTCAAAGATTGCGAGTTGAATGTGTTAACGATCAGGCGGCATAATACAGTGATAGGATCAGATCGAGATATATGACTCAATTTTATAGAGGCAAAAGTCTTAGTACGGTGTACCATAAGTTATTAAGGTTACATAGGTACTCCTAATCACCTCAAACCAGTTTGTACAAGTATCTGTCCCGCCTATTCGAATTGAAATCCATAAAAAAGGCATACAACAACCTTAAGTGTCATCTGGTTAACACAAATGTGATTAATTATACATATACATATAAAGTGCATGAAAATTTAGAAAAATTATCTGAATAATGAAATATTCTATACTAGGCATGGAAGGGTGAAATTAGTAACTATTTCAACTACATCCCTCAATGATAACCTAACAATCCAGGGAGATTCGGTCGCATAATTGTAGGTTCGAAATATCCCCCCCCCAAAAAATGCAAACATTAAAGCAAATGATAAAGTTATTTTAAATTACTTATAATTTCAAACCGCTAAAACATTTAGACCAAAATAAACGTTTTCTTTATCGGTAATTGAAGCATTTACACGGGGAAAAATATTTCCATTTTTAGGTGCCAAAACCCCAGTTAGACCACTCGTTTTTTTTTTTTCTTCTTTCTTGTTTGTGAAAATTTCGCGCAAAGCTACTCAAAAGCTATCTTTGCTCTTCGTCCCTAATTTTGAAGTGATAGACTAGAGGGAAAGCAGTCAGACAACACCATCCACTGTTAACGCGTGGCCGGCTCTAATTGAATAGTAGAATATGACTGTTACTCTTTTAACACATCCACAACACCAAAGTGCAGAGCACGATTTTTTCGGCAACATCGGGGCGCGAGCCACAGATCGACATACTAACCAACGAGCTCCAGTTTAGGTTACACACGTTTTTTAATTTTATAAAAGACAACCCAAAAGTAGCCTATATTACGTATTCTTCATAATGATCAAAGAAAAGCCGTTACTTTATTTAGAAAATATTTATTAGCCGTTTATTTGTTGTCGTATTGCATGTTTCTGATTAGGCTAACATGCAACAAAGGTGATATCATGCCAAACGGATTATTGTGTCCGATTTGTTTCTCACGTATATTTGATTAAATATAATCTGTTGATCCACCATATTTATTGACATGGCGAAGTGAATAAACTAGCACCATTAATCATCGTTTAAGTAAACAAAGCATAAAGACTTTAAATATAGCGTGAGCTCGCTGATAAATAATCAACATGACATATCTAAGTGAGAAGTACTCAGCATCTTTTTACCAACTGACACCATAATATCCTTGATCCTGTTACAGATTATTCACAATTTTAAACACCCGAATTTCTTCATTTACATTTCATTTTGCTCTCCAAAGAAAACACTTCCAAATCAGATATTTAAAGAAAAAAAAAAACAAATTTTCATTTGAGTAACTTACCCCTTTTCTGTATACCTTCTCTGTATAACAAGAGGACCAGAACATTAATTAATGAAACCTCTATAAACAGATTCCGAAACCATATTAGCTCTCACCAACATATCTAAACACTAAACAGAATTCTCTCAACTTTAACCTTTTCCCGTATAACGTAATCTGTTCTAAATTTCCCGCCAAATGTGGATTACTCTTTACATTCTTTCCAGATTCTTTGGAATGAAAGAAACAACCCCCCCCCCCCCCCCAAAAAAAAGGTATTATCTGTTTCCAGCATTTTAGGATCATCAGCAAATTTAGGAATATTAATATTTAAGAAGCTTTACACATAAATTAAAAATAAAATGCCATAAAAAAATACTCCAGCTGTTCACAAACCATTTTTCAACACCTTCAGTTTTACACCACCATGCAGTGGCGTAAGTATGGGCATGCAACTACAACCCCCCCCCCCCCACTCAGCCAAAAGGGGATCCAAAAAACAGCCAGAATCATCGTAACTACAATAATAGGCCAGTAAATGTTTGGAGACTGATTATTTTTTTTATGTGAGGGGGGTCATCTTCTGTAGTTACACAATTTCCACCATGCCTGTTTTATAACTACTATTTAATATCTAAACGGTGCCTTTGTTGTACTCACAATAAGCACGTTACAACTCAAAAAATTATATTTCTTTATTACATTTAATACAAATTGAATCTACAACCTTCACGTGTCTCACAAACAACAGTTCTTAAACAAAACAAAAAACTGTAGCCAATACTATACACAACTTTCTGCCTGTTTAAGTTAAACACGGTATCTATAATACATACTACAGTAACTATACTTAAAATTAAACTCCATACATAACCAGACTTCCTTTATTTAAGTGTCAATGGATGACATATTGCTGTTGTTGAATTATAATTTAACATAGAAGCTGTACAGTGGTCTGAAAGAAGTGACTAACATGTTTTATATAAAATATGTATTTGAAAGCTAATAAAATATATGATACATAATAGCATAGGTATTGTTTCATCACACAGCGAGGACACAAGAAAAGGTCACAACTTATGTAAATCAAATATGGATTAAACAAAAGGTTTCATTAACTCAACTACAAGTATGTTCAATCACTTTAGATGTAGACTAGTTGGATGTTCAGAAAAGTTTTAACAGAAGAATATTTTGCACTTATAGACGGAGGGCACTTTGCGTACACAGTACTGGATATAAAACATATTTTAATATCGAATTAGTTTTTATTTAGATTGTGGAAACATTCTATGAACATTAACATAAATTACCTAATAAACACACACACTGGTATCATGTAAACACGAGTCACCATATATTTGTAGCTTTATCTAGAATGTGCATGAATAACTCTTCCAAAAGTTTCAAGTACACGGGATCTCTGGTATCTGTTTTACATAATTTCATGAAACACCGTACTGTACGAATTTCCCGGAAATGAAAGAATGAAAATAAACAAGCATATCAATCATTCATACGACAATTTCTTTTGAAAATTGTAGTTTTTCAAATATGTTTCTAATGTCTTGGGAAAGGTTAGACGTATTTAAAGTTTTAGGAAGGTTTAGAAACGTCTTGTTGAACTTGTGGTTTAAAGTTCTAATGTCTTGGGAAAGGTTAGACGTATTTAAAGTTTTAGGAAGGTTTAGAAACGTCTTGTTGAACTTGTGGTTTAAAGTTCTAATGTCTTGGGAAAGGTTAGACGTATTTAAAGTTTTAGGAAGGTTTAGAAACGTCTTGTTGAACTTGTGGTTTAAAGTTCTAATGTCTTGGGAAATGTTAGACGTATTTAAAGTTTTAGGAAGGTTTAGAAACGTCTTGTTGAACTGGTGGTTTAAGGTTATCGTAATTAAAGATATTTTATTTTCTACCTTCAAACACAATACGTGTAGTTTTAAAGTGGTGAAAACTTATTAACAGCTTTCTCTGACTTAAATCTATTTTACTTCATTCAAACTACAAATCATCTATATCACAGACAATGAAGCATATGAGACGAATTTAACAATTTTTTTAACTACACAACATGAGAGAAATATGTAATGTCTCTCTCTTTTTTTTCACACTCCCGCATATTTCTTGTTAGTTCAAGTGTCACTATATATGAAAGGTCAAGGTTTTGGACTCGAAGCAGTGACTTAGGCATCAGGTGTTTTTTTGTCCATTTTTATTAACTATGTTATATCTGATTTACATTTACGATTACAGAGGAGTTTCTCCCAGGTACCCCAAATACATGACATGCCCCAGGGCGTACTGTATATATATGCTTACAGGATAGTAAAATTCCTGGCATGTTTGTGTAATGTTCTTTCACTAGTCATGCTTTAGTTATAGAGGTAGCACACTTCTGTTAAAACACCATATTATTATCTTTCCAGGCTAATATTAACAATGGAAAAATGTAAAAAAAATATAACAAATCTTAGCACAAGTAGTAACCATCACTTAAATAAATCATGTTTAATTTTTGTTCAAGCTACATAATACGACAAAATTAGGCTAGAATATAAAACACAAATCATACAATTAACAGCTGTATATCACAATCTGGGAGGGGGAGAATTGGATTCTGAGGTTTTCAACAATTACATCACAAACTTATAACAAAATTCTGAAGTTTTTTTTGTTTTCAATAAGATAGAAAAGGCATATAAATGTAAATATGAAATTGTTATTGTTAAATTTTTTTGTTTCACTTTTTACAAAGAATTCTTAGAACATCCCACTTTTAAAAATCTTAACAGCCTACAAGTATATTTACAATGTATTTTTCTATCATTAATGACTATAGTTAACAACATTTGATAAGTTTAAAACAGAACAAAGCCTTTTACAGTAAACAGAAGCGTCCAAGTTGCATAATGCTTGTTCTTTGTACGTACTCGTGTGATGATGAAAAATTACTGTGACAAGAGAATATGCCGAACAACATTATTTATAAAACACTTCACAACAACTTAAAGATAAACAGGAAGTATCGTCTATCACAATAGGCATCGACAAACTAGGTTTCCGCTGATACCCTACACACCAAATCTCCCCCAGTTTTTTTGTGTGGAAGTGTGAAGAGAGCTTATAATGACTGTTACAAAATGGCTACCGATCCATCTGATGGATTTATATAATCTTTATAAATAAAACTTTTACAAAAACTCTGTCTACATAATTCTACTATCATACACAGCCAGTTAATACGACGAATATTCGTTATTTCTTGTCAGGAACAGCTCGTCATGCTCACTTGTAGGGTTCTTAAAGATCACGATTTATCTTTATGAATAAACTAATCTGGTGATTTACTTTATATATTTTTCCCGCTGACGTAGTATTTATCAGATTACACTTACTCTGTATCACACTATTTGTTAATATTCATAAGTCACAAAAGACTGGTAAACCATTTTTAAAGTGATGAACCTTTGATATTCGTTGTCAGGCATAATATTTTAGAAAACACAGAAAGCCACAAGAAATTTCAGTGTCAAATTTCTCCACAAACTGGAGCTTTGCTCATCAGAATGTTGTTGAAATGGGATACTTATATATATAATGTTGTTGTTTTTATTTCTGTACTTTGTAATCAGAAAGAGTAAAAGATTTAGACTTTCTTCAAAGTTCTATTAAGAATGGACGACAAAATGTGTCGTACGTAAAGGTCTGGTTACTTATGATTACGAAAAACAAAACAAGTCCGTTTCATTAAAAGGTACGTATAGCTTAAGTTCAAACTATAACTGGAGAAAATGAAAGGTAATTTTGTGAAAGAAAAGACACCACGATAAGAATGTCGCCAGATAAAAGTATTCACGGCAACTTTAGACGAAACGGCACTGTTTGGTTACTGTCGCTAAAACATCAACACCATCTGTCACGTGATCTTAGAAGTAAAGAAAACCAACTTGACACGGTAGTTACACATTAAAACTGTAATAATATCACAAATAAAAAAAACATTTTACATGTTCAAGTTCTTTAACATATCTGAAAAGACTTTTGACCTGATATGTCGAAATTGGAAGGAGTTCAGATGCTAACTGAAAATGGATGAATATGTGAAGTAGAATTAGAACAGCTTCATTTCTCAGTCAGTAAAACGTCACACATACAACTGTACCATACCTAACTATATAAAAACTTTTATCTAGCTGGTTCCAAGCCAAAACTTACAGATAAATATAGTTTGTTTTTGTACAGTGAGAAACAAATATCTCTCATCTTTACACCAAGAGTGCGTTTCGCCTCATCATACCGAAACTTCAAACAGAACACGGCAGACTGTCTAGTATGGCCAAGACACGATCCACAGAAAAATTATGGCTACAGACCAGTACGTTTGTTGACGATCAGAAGCATACGATTTCTTGTTTTTAAAAGTAAGTAATGTAGATATTTTTACCTTCTGTTTACACATCAGATGAAAATAGGCACGTACAATGATCAAACAATTGTGTAGAAATTATAATAATAAACAACGCTAATGGAGCATTACCAGCTATATCTGACAAGAATCCCTACCAACTCTGATCGTCAATACAACTTCTTATGTTACATATACATGTTTTTTTTTCTTAATGCAGTGGAAATCCCATTTTATAGGAGTTTATAATTTGAGAAAACATCTTGAATAAACATCTTTGAATCTGAAATCTTAATCTAGCAAATCAACGATCTTGGAAATGATCAAACTTTAGAATACGAAGAAGGCTATTCTTCAAAAAAAAAAAAAAAAAGACCTTACTCGTATCGGTAGAACTGCCACTATAGGGTTAAAATATGACAGCATTAGATGGTTTTATCTAACAATTGGCCTACCTGTACCCGAATATCAAGGTATTAATTTGAAGCAATATAAACAAGCCATAATTATCCATAAAAGAGAATTTCCACTGTACACACCGGGACATAACTTCCGTCACGAATGCTTAAAGTTACCTTTTCTTGGTATGACAACACGAGAAGAGACTGAGAAACTTTCAGAACCAACTTCAGACAAATCTAGTTCATGCTTCCTTTTCTTATGAAAAGGTTCAAAATCTTCGTCTCCAAGATCTTCAACATGCCGACCTTCATGTTGATCGTTTGTTCTTCGTTTGCTTCCATAACGAACCCTTTTGTCTAACGATTCTGTTGTTGAGGCACTTTTGGAGACTTTTGGCTCATCATGTTTCACAGAACGTTCTTTGGGATTACTCCTGTCTTGACTGTTTGCTTTTGGCTCGGAGATCAGTGTTAGTTCAGCAGGGCTTAGACGAGGAGCGTCGGGTAGAACTCTATTGGTAGCCCATAACTCAGATTTTAGTGATCTTTTGTCTATGAAACTTTATCATAACAACAACAAATTCTCTATTATTACTTTGTAAAAGTACTTGTTAAAAGTTTTAATTGTTGCTAGAATTTTAAATAACATTTGTGTTGTTAGTAGAATTTTTGATTATCTAAGAAATTATTTTTACTCAAAAAAATTCTAGCAACAATTAAAACAAAATTCTAGCAACAGTTAAAATAAAATTCTAGCAACAATTAAAACAAAATTCTAGCAACAGTTAAAACAAAATTCTAGCAACAGTTAAAACAAAATTCTAGCAACAGTTAAAACAAAATTCTAGCAACAGTTAAAATAAAATTCTAGCAACAGTTAAAACAAAAATCCAGCAACAGTTAAAATAAAATTCTATGAACAGTTTAAATTAAATTTTTGAAACAGATAAAATAAAATTTTAACAGTTAAAACAAAATTCTAGTAATACAGCAAAAACTTTTTTTTTTTCAAATTTCACCGAAAGTATACAAATCTGTCATACGACTTATCTTTGTTGAAAAAAAAAATGCTTATTACAAATCTTCGATGCTTCTTGCATATCGTAAATAACCTACAGTTAGTCATAAAATATGACATCTGTAATAAGGAAACACGTTTATGAAATTAAAGAGATAGGTATACACTTAGTTTTTAAATAAACAGAGAACAGACACTAACAACAATGAAACTTACCTCCTTAAAATGATTACCGCTCGACGTTTCTTTACGTCTTGGGGTCGAACGCAATGTGTAATACTGTCTGCAGCAAACCCACTACAAATAATAAACATTTCTTTCACTACCCACTTTCAACGTGACGTAGATGATAAACAAGCTGATCTTTATATTAAGCTGAAAATTATATTTTCACATTTTTCTTAATTTGTTCGTTCAGATCAAAATCAGAAATCTGGTGTCGAATGAAAGACCACTTCGACAGTGACTTACGGGAGACAGAAGATAAGTTCTTAAAAACATATATCTGATTTGATTTCCAAAATGGAGAATCTGAGAGAAATGTGCAAAACAAAATCTGCAGGTAATTTATTTTTATCATACATTTTATGCCTGCCGGTTACTAACACTTCGTCAGCTTTTTTAAACCATAATTCTTAATGTCTTTCTAAAATGTTTAACTTTCAATACTCAATTCAAATTCCATTTTATCATACGAAACACAGAAAAATATACCAACAAAGTTTGTTGGGGGGTGGGGTGGTGGAGGTGTTACGTTACTATGTGAAACGAAACATTTTTCAATTAAATGCAACATAAGATAAAATTCAATGATTTGTTTTACATATTCTAGAACACAATTATCATGTTTCCTTTCAAAAAGACAAACATATTTTTCAGATCATGCTAATTACAAAACAAACCTCAAAACAGTTACACAGCCTCTAACCATGGGAAGAATAAGTAAGGGTTCTGTGACTCGTATCGGCTTGAAGCTAAATTTGCATCCAAAACTTAGTGCACAGTCACTCATAAAAGACACGGATATGATTGGTCGATCAAAAATGTGGGCAGGATCTATATGAGAGACAATGCATCCTCCCGGCTGGTAGTCATTGATAGCAGCACTATTAATGAATCCTTCGGGTACGATGTTGGCTTCCACAATGGGCTTGATAACCTAAAAAAAAAAAAAACACACAAAAACATGTGTAGGCATCATTTCTGGTCGTCTTCTTTCGTTGAAGGATGTAAAAATTTTAAGTCTGTTATAAAGTCTGAAATTTTTATGACACCAAGCAATCCAGCCTACAAACAGCTGTTCTAGCTTTTCAAATCGTGGCATCATTACTTCTCACTGGATATGCCCTGTTATTTGTACAAGTTATGACTCAACCTAACTCTTTCTGGCAGCTGGTGTATAACGACGTTTAATTTTGGTAAAGTAATTTAAAGACCAAAGCTGTCTGGTAAACAGATTTGTATAAGAATCCATTGTGGTAAACAAACAGTGTAAAGTATAAGCTAAGAGATTACCGTTAGATCCTCTCTTCAATACATTACTAAGACATATCCAAATGAAACACAATGTCGTTGTTTTGTGTTAATAATGCTTTATTTTCATTGACTTTTATTTCTTCTTCACGTCTACACTGAGTTACAGAAATTAATGGTTCTTTATTAATGTTACATGATCACGGAGTAGAGCTTGTTTAGTTTGGATGTATAATTGCCTGTAATTCTTTCCTTTTTTTTGTACACATACAAGTACATACACTGCTGATTTCTAGGCCTTGATCTGGAGAAATACATGCTTTTTGATCAATTAGTTTCCTTAAACAAAATCTTGCACAGGCATTGGTAAAGTGTATTTAAGTGTTTAGTTACAAAAGATGTCTTTGGATACAAGTTTATACAACATGTTCATTTGTTTATAACAATTCCCATAACAACAGGAAACTCTTGCAAATTATGGTCACATGACTACAAATTAGTAAAAATTAAAATAACATCCTGTAAAAACAAGGCTTAGGTGACAACCGTAAACACTATTCACTCTTTTTTTCTCTCTGTAGCATTATATTACACGAACAGTTCAATCTTTTATTACTCTCTACATCTGAAGGGCAGCACAGCACAGAATGTTACATGAGTTGTTTTAATAGTTAGTAAAAAAAAAGTGTAGAGTATTATTTTACGTCGATACCATAGAACCTGATAACTTGAGTATTTTATGAAGATAATACACCTTCCATGTTTCAGGGCTGAACTGAGAATGTGTATGAAATGTAAAAATGGGTATCTTTATCAGACAAACGGGAGCTTTAATTACTTAGGATGGTTTGTAAAATTTTAGTGTTACAGTATAGATAAATATGGAAACCTTCAGTGCTGGAACATGACAAATTAACTTTACAAATTTAATATAAAGAAGAATTCTCTTGAACGAACAGTCTTGGAGGATTAATCTACAAAAGCAGCTCTGAACAAAAGGTTCTAAAAACGGAAATTTTCAAAATGTCCTTTCTACTCAAGCTATGATATAATCCTCCAAGACTTGCTCTACAAGTGTCACTCTGAAATAGGCAGTTGATGTCCATTTCACCTTTGTTTATTACGAACACTTTACCTAAGTCATTTATAAAAGAAATCTCTCTTCTTCCTCTTACCTACCCCAAGCTATTTTTACTTTAGTTTTTCTAAAATTCTGTATGCATAAGCCTAAAAGTAAAACTATGTGAAACTGTAAATTATTGACATTATAGTTAAAAGAAGCAACGATTGGCTGAATTGTAACTGTAAGGTAGTCTAATGATAACATTTAGAACTTTGCTTCAATTGCATTTAAATTTCAATATCGCTATTTTTTCGAATCTTTAGTTTTATTCATTACCAGATTTTGGATCCAGTTAGGGATATTATCTACTTCTCCATGCGGATACAATTTTTCCATCCCTCGGCCTTTTTTAAGCAATTGTGAACCATAAGTGTAGCCTTCTCCAAAAAAATATTTATTTCTGAGGGGTGAACGATCGACTGTGTACTGCTTGTATTCGCCCCTGCCACCAGATAAAACAACTTCGTCTATTTTACTCTCAATCCTTTCGCATTCTTCGTCTGAAAATAGTCGCCTCTGTTGAATTCCTTCATGTAGTTTTCGAAGAATTTCTTGATAGTTTGGAGAATCTCTTGTATAAAATCTTCTTCCGTTTCTTTCCTCTATTTGGTGTGCTCTCCCAGGTTCTGTATCGCATAATTGCTGGTGTATCTTCGACTTATTTTGTGACTGTAATTTTTGTCGAAGATCAAAATAGCCTGCCTCCATATCATCCATGTAAGATGTAAGTTAGTTACGCGCTTGAGACTGCTTGGTTCTCCTGGTGGAGTAAGAGAGCAAAATTTAGAAATACTTATTTTAAAGTCTGCAGTAAAAAATAAAAAATGAATAAATATGTATCCATTAACATTTTATTTAAATATTTGTATTTGTAAAATGCCAGTGGCTATCATTATTACGATTTTTTAGGTTTGTTTGAGTAAACAGTTCAATGTTTTGTCCAAATATAAGGTGGTCAATTTTATTATTACTGCTATTACTCTAACCAATTGTTCCTACCTAATGATTTAGCAGTAAGTCTGCACACTTACGGCGATAAAAATAGGATTTCAATACCAGTGGTGGGAAGCATACAGATAGTCTATTGTGTAGCTTTGCGCTTAACAACAACCAACCCAACCTTTTTCACTCCTCGGACTGATAAAATCTGTATAAAAAGCTTATGGACTATTAGAAGTACATACTTTAATAATATGAATATTTATTCAGAAATATTATGCACATTTTTAAAATTATCATTATAATATATTCATTTTTCCAATGAATATTTCTGGGGACCAACAAAAACATGTTTGCTGAACCACTGCTATAAAACACATACTAACATGCTGGGCAATGAACCCGAGGATCCAGTGTTCACGTCCCCTTACCACAAAATCGTGATCCGCACTTTGTGGCCTTGGGTGTGTTATAAGTGTAATGATAAAATTCCGTCATTCGACTGGAATATCCAAAAGTGATTTTTTTTGCTCTATAGTCACTGGGATTATTTGAGGGCTATCTGCACTAGCTGTCCCTAATTTAAAAGTGATAGACTACATCACCCATTGCATATTCTTTGGCTACTTTCTTTTCATCGAAAAGTGGAATTGATCGTAAATTATGACATCCCCCACGGCTGAAATGAAGAACATGTTCGGTGAGGGGGTTCGAACTCGTAACTTGCGAGTGGAGTGCCTTAACTACCAGGTTATAAAATAATGAAACTGATTATAATGGAATTCATTCCTTAACAGGTAAATTCTAGGAACACATGCCTACGAAGCCTTTTACCCAATACCAGGGCTCATCAGACCGACTGGTATACTACAAACATAGTAGTGGTTCAGGCGCAACATATCGCAATTTAAAAAAAATCAACTCTTGTAGTATAAACCAGATTAATTGAGAAATTCTGAATAAATTCTTTTTTTACCCACAATTTGTTAAATAACAATTATCAGCCTTACAATCCGAATGGCGTAGCTCAAAAGTTCTATTGAAGTACGTCGTTGATAACTGAAAGAAGTGCTGAGATTACGAACTTCCTAGGGTAGATGAATTGGCTATAGGGGTGGTGGAAGACCAACCAGACGTCCCGATTTCAGCGGGACAGCCCCATTTTCGAGCTGTCCGTCCGCTTTAGGAGATAATGAACTCAGATGTCCAGCATTATCAAAATTAATATCGGTAAGCAGTACCGGACTATGACTGCACGTAAGATTTGTCCTGTCCTCCTATAGATATCCTTCCTTTTTAATATATTAATGTTCAAATAAATATATAATCATATACTTATTGAGGATGTAATAATATGAAATTAGCTTGTTTATTGTTCCATAAAACACCGTTAGGTGTTAGCCATTGACTTTTATACTTCGAAATCATTGAGATGTCGTACATAAGTGTTCAGTACACACCAATATTGTTATAACTGACAAAACAATCTGAAATTAGTTTACTTTATTTCGGGATATGCGCTGAATGTCCAGAAAACATCTTTGACAATTTATTTTCAACTCTGTTATGTCTCGTATTTTTTGCAGATTATATCGGTCTATACATAGCTATTACTGTAACATTAAATTAGTTTAATTTATTTCGGGATATGCGCTGAATGTCCAAAACATCTTTGACAATTTATTTTCAACTCTGTTATGTCTCGTATTTTTGCAGTTATATCGGTCTATACATAGCTATTACTGTAACATTTCACTTTCAGACACACTATTATTATATCAGTATCTCAAACAAAATGTTGTATATTTTTTAAGACAATTTTGTTAAATAATTTTCATATCTAGGTTAATTATAAATGATTAGATGGTATGTATTTTTCATGAATGTCAATCTTCTCATTTGCATGTTTTCAAAACCCACCGTCCCCCCGTGGTAAGTCTACTGATTTTAAACACTAAAATTACGGATTCGATTCCTCTCGGTGGACACAGCAGATAGCCCGATGTAGCTTTGCTATGTAGAAAACAAAACACACGCAAAACGCACTCCTGATTTGTTAAAGAAAATAATATCTAATGAAAAGTATAATAATTAAATGATATGCATTTTTCATGAAAAGAAGTTTTATTTTTTTAATGCAACCAATTATTTCATCAGTTAGGGGTCCCGCTTTGGATTCCAGAAAATTTGGTCATATTACCATTGGCGACCTCTGCATTCACAGCCGAGATATATTCTTTTAAGATTTTTAAATTCTCTACGTTATGACACATCCTTACATGAAAGTTTTTTCTCTTCTTCTCCGCAAACTATTTTTTTTTTGCTCCACTCCCAAATAATAAAAAAAAATCTTAGAAACGCCAATGGTTGACCAAAGCATTTACCCATTTCAGACGTTTCAAATCCCTTTAAGCCTCAGGTTCCACTTCTACTCCCACGTTACTATTTCCGAATACATTTTCTTCCATTCGCTATTTATTGTGTGTCACAGTTGGATCTCTGCACATAATTATCAGTCTATCGTCACTAGCCTACGTAAATACACGTTATTATAGCCGCAAATTATAAGTATTTACAGCAATAAAGCTTTCAACAAGTAGTATAAAGTTAAGAATGTATAGAAGGTTACGGTGCCCTTAAATATGATCAACATTAGATATCATAATATGCTTAAAACCATAATTTCAACATTATCTTTCTGTCAATAAAATCAAATTATACATTTTTAAATTTATCAGTAAAATGCAAGTTCATGTGAATCCTTCCTACTTGTACTGTAAATAATTAAATTATCCTCCTAGCGGACACGTTTGTGTGACGTTAAATTTATAAATGTTGTTATTGTTCGAATATAAAATTAAAAACAATAACAAGAAGAAAAAAAAACCTCCAGTGACAGACAAATCTACCGGAGTTAGAAAGACATTTAGAGATAGACAGGTAAATAGATGATTAAAATAAGTTAGTAAAAATATTGGCAAGACACGAAAGCTGGCATTCATGTTACGTCAACGTTTACTTTAAAAAAGGAGGAAAATAAGAGGCCTATTTCTATATTAACTAGGAAATTCTCAAGAAGTGAAGATTACGCATTAAATTGTAACAGAATTGGTAAAATCAAGCGTTTTGTGTTTATAATATTTTCTGTTAGTATTTAAAGTGGTTACAATAGAAATCTTTTTAAATATATATATATTTTTTAATTTCCACACACTAATGGACCGAGAATTCCGATGATGGCAATAAGCTAAAATTTTAAGATCCATGATTTTAGATTTTTAAGATGTTTGTTATTAAGCACAAAAGGCTTATTTGTGCTATGCCCACCGTGGGTATCGAAACCCGGTTTCTAGCAGTATAAGACCGTAGACATGCCGCTGTGTCACTGGGGTCCGCTTTTTAAGTATTGAAATATAAGTTAGACCGATTAACTGAAAATATCAAAGAAGAAACTACAGAACCTGGTGCAAATATTTTACAGTATCAGTTAAAATAACTTCAATAGTATATTTCGAATGATTAGTAATGGAAATAAAATAATATAATAACCAATATTACCAAAATACTATTCCACTATTGTGGTTACTAAGTTACCAGAATAATTTATAGATTATAAACATTATCACAATAACATATAAAAAGGAAGTAATTACCTTTTACAAACTTACTAGTTTTTTTTTTAAACAAAACATCTGTTATTATATGAATAATTATTAGATTAGTTGGATTTTACACCGAGATATAGGAGGTTTTATCTGCGTTAGCCGTCCCTAATTTAGAAGTTATAAACTCGGTGGACATTTTTGTCAGACCAAATAGTGGACTTTTAACTGTTAGTCTTATAATGAACTTACGGCTTCAAACGGAAGAGCTTTTTTTGTTTGTTTGTTTTTTAGACGATAACGGGACGAGAAACCACCGAGCCTCACCTTCACAGGTTGTTATGACAACTAACTTTATCGTTAGGATATAATAGTGACTATTATTGTCTGGTTGCTACGACGACATTGTTGAAATGTCACGAAGACTACTTTTGGTAGCGATAAGTCTTCCCAAGAGACCTGAAACTTAACCAATCAGATCACCACGTATATCTAACTGTGACTGACTAAGAAATATCAAAACAGTAAAATTAAAATCACAGTGATTGATTTGGAGTAACAATTTATGGCGTAGTTGAAAAACTAATACGTGTTGTATTTTTCATCGTTCCTAAAGAACGGAAATATATTTTTTTTATTAATTATAAATGTTAGAAACCACCGTGTAGTTAATAAAGGAACAGTAAAATATTGTCGTAAATTTAATATTACATTATCACTTTTAAAAACGATGTGGTGAAAACGTGGTCAGATGTTTTTCGAAATTCGCCTTCAAGTTTTATATTTTTTTATCACGTTTCTAAACTATTATTGTATATTAAACTGAAGGTTTTATAAGCTCGCGTGTTCAATCAAACGACAATGTTCATTCTCATATATATTTATGAAAGGTTTAATCGAAATCCACAAGGTGGCGTTGTATCCATAGGCTTACCGCTGTCTTATCGGGGAACAAGCACACGTTCAAAATTAAAACCTTCAATTTTCTGAAACAAACTGTTTTATTGAATCAAAAAATATACAAAGGAAAAAATTAACAATTAATGCAAAATACTTGACCTATAGAACTATAAAACCCAGCTCACAGTTTTCAAAACAACCAGCCATTAAATACACAACTGTCTATTTACACATCAGCAACAGTAACACACACACACACACACACACACACCATCTAAACAGAGAATTAACAAAATACAAAGTTAGCGCACGCTTGTAAACGTACTTTTTTCAGGACCTGACAGACAACACACCTGGTACCAGGCCTTGTTCAAAAGTTCACACGTGTTTATTTACCGGTTGAATAGAAACATTATTTTTTTTTGTCCGTTAGATATACCAAATTAATGGAAGTTCACCATATTATACATTTTTCATTTTATTTCTTCAGTTTCAAATTAAATTTATTCTTGACGGATAGAGCAAGTAAACCCAGAAAAAGAAAAAAATAATCACAACGAAAGAACAAAAGCAACTGTACACAAGATATTTTTATAGATAAAAGAAAAATTGATTTTGAATTTTTTTTAAGGTTTGCTAACATTCCACCCTTCACATTTTAAATATTCTATTTAACGGTTTAAACTTCATATTTTGTATCAGTACCACAGATCAGATCTGTAATAAAACTATATAAACGTTATTAGCTTCTGAAGCACGTAACTATACATTCCAGCAGTTTCAAATGGACATTTATAAATTCCATTATGTATACCTGTTACATTCTGACGTCAGTATAGAAAGAGTTCTTCACGTTATTTTTCATCTTGGATGACTGAGAAGTCCGCGAACCGTACAAGCTTTTCATTAATGTGACTGAAACTTACAATACCTCACTTACTGCATATTGACAGCTATAAAACAACCTTATATATGTTTCTAATAAGACTAGTTTATTTTTAGCACTTCGTTAAAATATTTATTAACAGAATCGTCTTGCCTTCTGTTAACATGAGCAAAAAAAAAAAAAAAACTTATTTAAACTAGTCACTGACGTTCTTAAATACAATATTGTTAGATACACGTCTCTAATAAACTCGGTTTCTTTGATAGTTAGCTACTCTGCTATTTGAAGGTTAGACATTATGTAGTCACAGGGAAACAACTGACCGACCAAAACTTCTCATAAATCTACCATTCTCGCTCTACTCACCTAACGAATCAACAATGGAAGCTTCTGGCACATGCTCAGATACATCTTTATTAAAATCAATAAAATTGGAACGATCACTACGAGAAGCGAATCCTCTTAAACTCACCAGTACACTCTTGTCCACCAGTGTGCTGAATACAAAGAATACTTTAATTACAAATTCACAACTTTATTTTATTTGTACAGAAGGAAGAACGAACTGTTGAAATGAGCTTGGTAACGAATCACTGTCTAAGATAAAAGTGATTAGTGTATCTATAAAAGAAGCCACACGTACAGGACTAGCATATTTAAGATATAAACAATAATCAGGTATGAAAAAACAACCATGCTGTCTACATTAACAACAAAATTACGCTATGTCGTTACACCAGAAATTACAATAATATCTCAAGAATACAAGGATTTATAAAGAACGTTCCTTCAGGTACAGACACTTGTTTGGTGCTACAACTTACGGTTACCGTGTATAAACATCCCTTTGCTTCACTAAACTTGTAAGTGGTCTAACTTTGGTAATCGAAATATTTCTGTTGCTAAAACAATGCAAACTTTAAAAGTTGATGGTACCAACTGTTGCTATGAGACAAACTTTGTAAACTTTCAGAAAAATTTGATAAACTACTAGTGGAATTTCAAAACAAGACAACAAAAACAAACGTACACTATGATGTACATATCTAGATTACCGGTTATGTACATCATAGTTTCTAGATTACCGGTTATGTACATCATTATGAAACCGGTAATCTAGATACTATGATGTACATAACCGGTAATCTAGATACTATGATGTACATAACCGGTAATCTAGACATTATTCTGTTGTCAGTTGATGTACGTGT